GGCCGCGGATCCTGGGGCTCCGCAAATCGAGGCTTGGCGCAACGTGACCAAGGCCGTGCACGGCAAGATGTTCCTGCAGTTGTCGGACTACCGCTCGGCCGCGGAGAACGCCCTCAAAGCGGGCTTCGACGGCGTCGAGCTGCACGCCGCCAACGGCTACTTGCTGGAGCAGTTCCTGCACGACGGCATCAACGACCGCGCCGACCAGTACGGCGGCAGCGTCGAGAACCGCGCGCGCTTCCTGTTCGAGGCACTGGAGGCCATCCTCGAGAGTCTGGACTCGTCCAAGGTGGGCATCCGACTGTCCCCGTTCGGCGGCAGCTTCGGCAACAAGGACTCGGACCCCGTCGCCACCTACACGTACGTGCTGAACAGGCTCAACAACTACGACCTGGCCTACGCGCACCTGATCGAGCCGCGTGGCTACCACGTGCGTGACCCGCTGGCACCCGAGAAGGGCTCGGCGCGGCAGTTCCGCGAGACGTACAAGGGCGTGCTCCTCGCCGCGTCGGGCTTCGACCGGCAGTCGGCCGTGCAGATCGTGGAGGAGGGCGCGGCCGACGCCGTGGCCATCGGCCGCCACTTCATCTCGAACCCGGACCTGGTGCGGCGCTTCCAACTCAACAAGCCCGTGAACGACTACGACACGGACACGTTCTACCTCGGCGACGCGCGCGGGTACATGGACTATAATACCCGTTCCTGCAGGACGAGTAGGTAGAGCAGTAAAGACGACGTAGACAGCAAAAGACGTGCTACTTCCGTAAGAACTGCAAGGTGAAGCGTACTGGAGGTGGCTGCGTACTCTCAAGTAAAACAAATTGTTGGTAGTTAAAACTACCGGTAGTTGCTGCAGGCACCAGGCACGTACTGTTACTGCCTCGGTGTGGGCTTGGGCGTCTTGTTGGATCACTTGGCGCGTTTAGTGGGACGGCCTTCTTCACCCTCTTGGTTTTCACGTGCTCGTTTCTTGGATGTTTCCGTCTCGCCACCTTGATCGCCTAGTGGCCCTCACCACTGCCACCAACGTCGCTCTCATCGTCACTCTTCTTCCTTGTCACCCGGCGCGTACGCTAGTGCTTTACGGGCGTTCTGCAACAACTTGTCGCGCGTCGCGGTAAGCGACAACTTTGCATACGAACTAACGTCCTTGTTTCGTTTTTCATCTTCATCGCGATAGTCCAGGTCGCCCTCCACAAGCCCCAGCGGGTCATACTGAGACTCCACCATGTTTGATAGAATGGAAGCCACGTCCTCGCTCAGGAACGGGTAGGTGACCCTGTTGAGCAAACGGAGGCAGATCGTGAAAACAGGATCCTCCTCCGAGACACTCGACACACTTGAGACGCCAGGATTGCTCTCGATCTTCGCCCGCTTCTTCGCCTGACTCCCGATCGTCTGACTCTCCTCCTTCACCTCAGAGGCGTTGCCTTTCTTCTTGGGCTTAAGATTGTCTTTCATTGTCGTGGCATAGATGAACTTGCCGTCACTCTTCCGACCGCGCACATTCATGTAGATGCGAATGGTATCACGGACATCCGTGGAGCTCAGCGGTTTCGGATCCCCACCAATTTCACCGGTAGATTTCCCCGCTGACGAGTTCCCATCACTGTTCTTTCCGAACACAAACCAGGGGCATAGTTTCTCCGTCGCTGCCCTGGAAAACCCACCATCGACTGGGGAACGATTCTTCACTTGAATCAACATCATCAACACTTCCTGCTCCTCTTGTTCACCCCTCGTTGTCTCCCCACCGACTGGCCTGCTGTTGGATCTCTTCTTAAACATCGGGATCAACAAATCGGCTCCATACTGGTTACGGGGGAAAATACCTGCAGCTTGACGCCCCAGCAAAAACCAAAGCGTGTCCTCATTCGGCTCAAGCTGCAACTGCACAAAGTGGGTGAACCCCATGTACCAACCATCCCACTTCGAGCACCACTTGTTGAATTCTGGTCTCAAATTCTCCTTGCTGATCATCCTCTCGAGATATATCGGCAGCTTTTTCTTGCCTTGTAGCACCTTCAAGAATTGCTGCACCGGTACAAATTGACCGATCGTGTGGTAGCACTG